AAACATTACAATTGAATTATTTTCAACCTACACGGTGTGCATCACAATGAACTATTTTTATGCAGTTTATAAATATAATTAAGTTTTCCATCAAGAATTTAAGTAGTGATTTTTCTAGTGAAATGCCCAATCTTGAACACAAGTGGGAAGTACTCTCATTCCAGTGCCAATTACGACTTGTTAGATGCACATCTCTAGTAATTCATTGATACAGTGAGCGCAAGATATTTATATACACCTAACTCCTGCACCTGGTAGGCAATTACTGAGTGACTTTGCAACATCCTCGAACACAATAAAGTTACATGCCCATGTGACAGTTAATCAAAACACAGGACGCAGTATGCCTTTGATGCGTGTTCATGAGGGGTAGTTGGACAATTTCATTGCTTTGTAGGTACAACAATCATTGCTGCGTAGCATTTGAAAGAAATATAATACTAACATAAAACTGGGAATGAATATTAAACATGAAATGATAAATTGCTTTGATTGGTAGTTTATTGAGATATTGTCAATGGGTTTATATTAACAATATTAGCGTTGTGTTCTATATTTCTCGCATAATGTCCCATTGCCAGTTTGCTAAAACACTCATTGTCCAGACGATCTTTTCCTGGAATTTTACCTCCACATCGTCACCATATACCAGTATGATGTATGTGCCAAATGCGAATGAAAATGGTACATAAATCCTTGATCCGATTTTGAAACAAATTGTCATGGACATGTATCTTAACACATGTATAAAGTATAAGCCAAATTTGAATGAAAACTGACAAAGCATGTCCAAGATACCACATTTAAAAAAATAAAAAGATGGCTGTCAGTGGCCATCTTTGATGCAATTGAGAACGAAATTGTCATGGATATGTATCCTAACATGTATAACCTATGTACCAAGTTTGAACGAAAACTGACAAAGCATGTCCAAAATACAATATTTTCAAAACATAGTTGAACTCTGGTGACCTTGCCCTTTGTTATATAATATAATTCCCTTTATCATAGTTTGTTTCAATATAAATATGCATTGTCATAATTAATTTTGAATACAAACAAGTTTTGGGGTTGAACCAACAGTGGGGAATCAGTCTACCAAATGTCCTTAGTAGATGTAAATGTCTTACAAAAACATTGGTGCCTAATTTGTTTAATTATTTTAAGGGACATAATTTCCAGCTTTATTCAAAGTAATTCAGATATTTTAATATAAAAACAAATGCCTCATCTCAGAAAAAAGTGCTGCATTTAGATGTAAATTGACGACTGTATTATATGAAAAGTAAAAAAAAACACCCTCTATGAATAGCTATCATGTTGCAAGCTCTGCTTTGTATGCAAATCAACTTAAATAGTTAGTTGGTCTCCAGTGGAGAGAGGAGTCAACAGTACTGTTGCCTCCTAAGAATCTACATCTTCAAACACTGCAATCTTTGTTTTTGAAGTGCGTTTTTAAATTAGTATTATAAAAACTCTATCATTCTGTTCTAATAGCTGAAACAAATTCCTGTGAATTTTCATTTGTCGAATAAACTGTTCGTCAAATACAGAATACATATATTTTAGTACAATATTCTTTTCAAAATGTGGATGCAACGTTTTGCTTTTTATGTATTGTTTTTGATTTGATAGCTTTGAATTAAACAGATTTTATATAAGTTCAGATCTTGATCAAAGTTTGGCACACAGTCGAGAATTTAAGTAGTGATTTTTCTAGTGAGATGCCCAATCTTGAACACAAGTGGGAAGTACTCTCATTCCAGTGCCAATTACGACTTGTTAGATGCACATCTCTAGTAATTCATTGATACAGTGAGCGCAAGATATTCACATACACCTAACTCCTGCACCCGGGAGGCAATTACTGAGTGACTTTGCAACATTGTAGACACAATAAAGTTACATGCCCATGTAACAGTTAATCAAAACACAGGACGCAGTATGCCTTTGACGAGTGTTCATGAGGGGTAGTTTGACAATTTCATTGCTTTGTAGGTACAACAATCATTGCTGCGTAGCATTTGAAAGAAATATAATACTAACATAAAACTGGGAATGAATATTAAACATGAAATGATAAATTGCTTTGATTGGTAGTTTGAGATATTGTCAATGGGTTTATATTAACAGTATTAGTGTTGTGTTCTATATTTCTCGCATAATGTCCCATTGCCAGTTTGCTAAAACACTTATTGCCCAGACGATCTTTTCCTGGAATTTTACCTCCACATCATCACCATATGAAAATGAAAATGGTACATAAATCCTTGATCCGATTTTGAAACAAATTGTCATGGACATGTATCTTAACACATGCATAAAGTATAAGCCAAATTTGAATGAAAACTGACAAAGCATGTTCAAGATACCACATTTAAAAAAAAAACAAGATGGCTGTCAGTGGCCATCTTTGATGCAATTGAGAAAGAAATTGTCATGGATATGTATCCTAACATGTATAACCTATGTACCAAGTTTGAACAAAAACTGACGAAGCATGTCCAAAATACAACATTTTCAAAACATAGTTGAACTCTGGTGACCTTGCCCTTTGTTATATAATACAATTCCCTTTATCAGTTTGTTTCAATATAAATATGCATTGTCATAATTAATTTTGAATACAAACAAGTTTTGGGGTTGAACCAACAGTGGGAAATCAGTCTATCGAATGTCCTCAATAGATGTAAATATCTTACAATAACATTGGTGCCCAATTTGTTTAATTATTTTAAGGGACATAATTTCCAGCTTTATTCAAAGTAATTCAAATATTTTATTATAAAAACAAATGCCTCATCTCAGAAAAAAGTGCTGCATTTAGACGTAAATTGACTACTGTATTATATGAAAAGTAAAAAAAAAACACCCTCTATGAATAGCTATCATGTTGCAAGCTCTGCTTTGTATGCAAATCAACTAAAATAGTTAGTTGGTCTCCAGTGAGAGAGGAGTCAACAGTACTGTTGCCTCCTGAGAATCTACATCTTCAAACACTGCAATCTTTGTTTTTGAAGTGCGTTTTTAAATTAGTATTATAAAAACTATCATTCTGTTCTAATAGCTGAAACAAATTCCTGTGAATTTTCATTTGTCGAATAAACTGTTCGTCAAATACAGAATACATATATTTTAGTACAATTTTCTTTTCAAAATGTTTTGCTTTTTATGTATCGTTTTTGATTTGATAGCTTTGAATCAAACAGATTTTCTACAAGTTCAGATCTTGATCAAAGTTTGGCACACAGTTCATAGGAGTGTTTATATTGATTTTCTGACATCTTTTCTGTAAATATGTTATTGGTAGGTTTGCAAATGTGTATCAGACTGTGTAAAAAATCTCTCCATGATTTGGTTTTGAAACCCAGTATAGTATTCCCATGGGATTTGAGAGATACATTACCAAGGATATTATTACAAGATAAATGATTTGTTTCATTTAACACATACAACAATGCATATTTCCACTGAGATCAGTGACCTTTGATGTGTATCACCAGTGATCAGTCAAGTAGAAACAGTAAAAATATTTTATCAGATTTTCTCAATTTTTGCATGATATTTTCATACAGGACATCTGTTGTTCAAACTCAGGGAAGACTTTATAATGATGAATACGGTGACCAAGTTTGAAATAGAATTAGTGAAGTTATTATGCACACAATAACAATTATTAACGACAACGACGGACAAAATCTTTCCCTTAATATACATTTCCTTCCATCTTTGATAATACGGGCAAGGTAAAAACAAGATGGCTGCCAGTCGGCCATTTTGAATCAAATCTCTAAACCACTGCATGTGCATATGTCCCACATAAAGTATTCGGCCCATGCAAAGAATGAACAGAATCAGTCCAAAGGATTCTGAAATATGACTCTGGACGGATGCACAGATGGTCGGAGGACATGTATAATATATGTACCAAATTTGAATGAAAATTGACAAAGCATGTTCAAAATACAACATTTTCAAAAAACAAGATGGCTGCCAGTCGCCCATTTTGAATCGAATCGCTAAACCACTGCATGTGCATATGTCCCACAAAAACTACTCGGCACATGCAAAGAATGAACGGAATCGGTCAAAAGGATTCTGAAATATGACTTTGGACCAAGACCAAATTATAAGTCCATGTTTTCGGACTTCGTCCCAAAGGGGACTAATAAACTCGGCAATTTCTTGCGTAGATTTCAGTCTTCGACGACTGCTACTACTACTACTGTTGAAACGTATCAAATGAATGCTGCACAATCCCTTGCAACGTCCTTGCTTTGTTCAGTTTCCTCGGTGATCGTTTGCAAGAGGCGAATAATCTCCATCAGAGTTATGTCTACATGCTTTGACATAATAGCAATAATAAGTTCAAATCAGAAACTGCATTCAAAACTAAATTGTTTTCACAAGGGTAATTTAGATAATATATAATAATTTCATTATATGTTAGGGATGTTTTTTTAATATTTTTATCAACGAGGTATATTATTTTCGTGAAACTTTCAAAATAGATTTTATTAAATAAATGAGCATATGTATGCATGAAATAATAAAGTGTCTGATATCAACAAATAAAACACGATTGTTTGATAAATATACGAGTAGACGCTTACAAGTTGCAATACCCGGTAGTTGAACACATCTGAAATCCTGATACCCAGTATGTTATTTTGATTAACTGTCATGTTGATGGGAATGTAACTACAACGATAACTGGAGTATCTAGGAAAGTGTTCGAGGATGTTGCAAAGTTCCTCAGCAATTGCCTACCGGGTGCGGGAGTTAGGTGTATGTAAATATCTTGCTCCCGCTGTAATAGGGATGCATGGACATACAAGCATCTGACTGATAATGAAGCCTGAAAATTTACCATACACCCAACTAAGTACATCTTTTGGAAGACACTGAGACTACTGTGTGCCCTGCTCTGTTTCGTGGAATTCAAAGTCACATGACAAAGAGTTGAAGAACAAATAGTAATAAACACATATCAGACAGTCTCTCTTTTGAAAATGGTATAACTTTTAATTTTTAAATCTCTTTTGAGAAAATTACAGAATGAAAAATCAAATTACACAGAGAACAGGGCACACAAATAACTTAAAAAATCCAGACAAAATAATTAAAACTATGAAAAAACAAAACACCAATATATACCGTATATACAATAAGAACAATGAATCATCAATAAAAGAACAGTTGTTCAAATCAATTATTTTTTAAGAGAAACCTTTTTTTTTTTACAGAATTCATTATTTTTTTTATCATCTTTACACCAATCTGGCAACGACTTACTAGTACCTGTGAGTTCATCAAGAATGCAACTAAAGATGAACTCAAAACTAATTAACTGAAATCTCGTGCAAATGCAGACAAGACTGGTAAATTATGTTACCTAAGTCATACATGTAGCCACTTTTATACCAAGCAAGCCTGGTATGGTATGGTAGTATGGAGCATATTCTTCTGATCCAGGATTATCGATGAGGGGAGAGAGCAGGAAACTTAATATACTTAACAAATAATAAATTGCAAACATGTGGCAATGACGATAAAACTAAAGCTCACAAGCTGAGATAATTCATTCACTGACTAGTCACAGGGTTGTAAATAGAAGAGACCCGACAAATTATATGAATATTGTTATTATACCATATGTATCAAACTTGATGTTGAGGTTAAAAATGCTAACAAGTTTTGAATGAATACCTGGTAAATATATATTTTGTAGATGTGGAGAGCAAACAAGCAAAAATCTATGTAGTTGTTACACTAAAGCAAATATCGAATGTGAAACATAATTCATACAAGAAACTGCTTATAAAGCATACGAGTGTGTCACCCAAAATAAGCTAAATACCTTTGACGATGTTATTGAGCACACTAACTTTAGAATCTGTAATATATATGCCTTATTAATGTAAGTTTAGCAATACCAAAATATAATCGTGACAGACTAAATAAAGAATGCAAGTGAGTTGTAGTGATATCGCATATACGTCACAGACAGTTAAAAGAAAAAAAAAAATACTGCAAAAATAACAGAAAAGCATACCAGATACACTTAAAAGCAATCAAACAATCAGTGATGTTGGGAATATGTCGCGGCATGGCACCAATGGGTTAAAACTGATCCTGGACTTGGAATAGAGATTCACATGCATGCAACTTGGATTTGAGGCAATCAGAAGGGCAGATCATTCCTCTTTCTTCAATTTGTCTTGACTTTCAAACAATGGGCAACAAAATGAAATCTTGGCTGGTCAGTAAATCATATGAGATCTTCAGGATTAAATAAACTATGTGAGTAATCAGGACGATAGCGTCTATCCCCCAACCAACCAAGAAACTCTTCAAACTCTTCCTCCGTAGGCAATTCATCACTAGATAAAGGAGGCAAAGGAGGAGGATAAGGTGGAGGTCGTGATAAAAATGATGGTACTCTATGACCGGATGAAGTGGATAAGTTTATTGGTGATGCTCTCCGAGGAGGGCTGTGAAAGTGATAAGATGGAGAAGGTGGTGGGGGTGACACAGCATGTAAGTTAGCATTAGATGAACAGGATGAAACTGACGATGAACAAGAGGAAGAGTTTGATGACGAGTTGGACGATAATAACGATAATGATGCAGACACAGTATGAGGTGGTGTATTTTCTATAGTGATTAGTGGTGGAGAAACACACCCTTTTTTAACTGCAGGCATACAGGGCGAGTCTTCTTCATCTTCATCATCGGAGGTCAAATCTATCATCTGAACATTCTTAGATGATTTCACAGTAGATGTCTGTTTAGCTGTGTGAGAACAATAAAATAAGACGCACAATCAAATATTAATAATTTAGAAATGTGGGGTTGTATTTAATAGTAGTAAAAGTGAACATCACTGCAGACAAGCTCAAAGTATTATTGACAGCAACATTTTTTTTGAAGGCTTTGACATGTAAAGCAATATAGATGTCCTATAATGAATGCAAGTGCTACAGTATTTGCAAGACATCTGTCTTGCCAAAAGTCAAACATTACTATGCAGTTCCGTAGCTTCAGGTGTGATTGAGTTTTCAGTATCTTAGGGTATGGTGTCACAAAATTTCATGTGCAATTCTCAGCTCAAAGATAGAAGATATTAAAATAAATCAATAAAATAATCAATGCAAAGTATTGATTTCTTCCTTTTTGGATTTTTGACTACCGGTATTATACTAAAGTATAACACTATCCAAGCGAACTTAAAGAAGATCAAACATTACATACTTCCCAGAATAGCTGAGTTTAGCATGTACCCGGAGCAGAAATCAAACAGCAATGCATGACAAGAATTATTTATTATAGTGAAGACCAATAAATGGTGCTGTACATCAGCTTTTGAACAGCATAACACTCAAATGCTGCAACTTACAGATTTGGGTTTTGGCCAAGTTACTCACAATTCCAAATTACTTTTACAATTACTTTTTCTGGACATCACAACTTTAAGATAGATTGCTACATCAAAATAGATTATCAGATGTGTACATTATGCTGTTGTTCACAAAACTCAGATGAAAATGTATGATCTCAGAATTATTTTTCACACAAATGTAGGTCTAACACACATGAAAATGGTGATTTGCAAACCATCTACTATTGTTTTCTATGGTAAAATAGTTTCAATATATATCTAGTATCGTAAGTAGTGAATACCTGAAAGTTGATGACATGTGTCCTAATCAATTGTGATACTTTTGAAATAAAAAATTGTGAAATTTATTGACCGTAAAACAATGGGAGAATGTGGCAATTAATAATATAGGAATATGAAATAGTTGCTAATTTAATTTAATTTTATTAATTTAATTATTGTTTCCATAAAAATCTATGCATAGGGCCCAGTACGTTTTGACTGGTCTGGAGAATGCCGAGTTTTGGGTGGTTAACTTGTGATGCTGCCAACATATTGTTAACAACTTTGTCATATTACCTGTGTGATTACTGAATGGGGATAACATCTTGTTCATTGGACTTGTAATAATTTCATTGTGTTTTTCACGTTTCATAACACTCCAGGAGCCATCTTGACTAAACTGAATCTCGTCAGTGATCGGTGAAGAAGCCAGAATTTCTGTAAATAAACTATAAAAAAAATACAAAGTGAGAAAGTATCAAGGTATATACAAACAATTGTATAAAAACCCAGTTTATTAAAATTGCAAAAGTGGTTCACACAAGTTCCACTTTGCATTAAGAGTTTGTGTATGATCGAAGACATTCAGCAACGATCTTGAATGTTTTCCCCATAATTCTTACACCATGAATTCAGATGGTATGTAAATAATTTTGTAATAAAATGTGCATATTTTTTGAGAACATTTTTGTTTCTTCATTTCAAGTGTGGATATCAATGACAGTGTAACTGAATTTGCAATTTTATTTTCTCCAAAGAGATAATCTGGAATATGGTGGATGAAAATTGTCATTTGGATAATTTTTTTGTTCAAGAGTGGTTCACAAAAGTTCCACGCTTACTGATTGCTACAGGATACTAATAATAAATTCTGTATGTGTTGACTATGCGATATTTATACTGATAATTATATGAACCAAGATTATGTTACATTGTTAAGTTACTGTTATTTCAAAGAATTGTTAATAGCAACCTTCACTCATTTACTGAAATGTTTATATGTCTAGTTTGGGACATATTACAATATACCATATTGTTGTGTTGTTATTACATGCAAATACTGTGGAATACTATATTTTCGCTGGAACTAATTTTCGCTGAAAAGGCTTTTTGGGCATTTTGTATGGAATTTATTTTCACTGATTTTTGATGAGTTTAATGTGAAATATAGGAAAAAAAGTATATTTGCTGGATTTTATTTTCACGGAATCATCCCTTCAGCGAAAATAGCGCAAATAAATTCCAAGCGAAAATAAAGTATTCTACAGTACATATTTTAACTTAGTTTCATTGTAAGCAAATAATTCCGGTCGCATATAAAAGCTAATTCACCAATCAAAATGATGGACGATGCCAACGTGTTCAAATTACCATAGCTCATTTAAATATGTTAATGTTATTTAACGCAACACAGAAGAGATTTGCTGATGTAGTACGATATTTTGGCTTGGATTTTGATGAGAAAACGAGATGATTTTTTTTTTAAATCAAAAAATGAGTTGTTTTCAAAAAAAAACCTGAGCATAAAGAGTTTGAAAATCGACACAATTTTTACAGACTAGGCAGGAAGGGAGATATAACCTTTATCATTATAATCTTTAGAAGCCTATTACGAGGACATGTTTATGGGGGCAACAACTGGTTACACTCTGCATTATTTGCATTATTATTCTCTGACACAAGAAGTCTTGTCATAATTTTATGATAGTACATGTATGTAAAGTACCAATTTGTGTTTTCTCTGCAAGACTTGTGTGTAGATATTGCATTTTCCTCAATGCAGAGTTTTGGGCATATTATTTTTTTCTCTTCTGATTCTATTCTACCAACAATAACTGTCACAGATCATTCAATGCTTCACACGATGCATACAACATTAATTTTCTTTTACTTACCCATCAATAATTAAACTATCATATGGTGCTTGCTTATCACAGACTGGACATATCCATGTGGGTTTCCTATAAAAAAAATATAAAACTGTTAAAGTGACTAAACAAACTCAATCCCATCTGAGCTTGTGAGTTCCTGTGAATAGACCATTAGAAGGTTTTAATGTCACATGATATATTTGTTGAGTACATCATCAAATCCGTTTTTTTTTTCATCCACATATATAGATAATTGTGTAAAAACCACTAAAATAATCCTTCAAATATCTAACCAGAAGACAAACATTCAATTTGAAAGATAGAAAAATCAAGTTAATTTGTTTTGAGCATGTGATTTAGTCTAACATAATATCACAGACCCTAGAAAATATTCATCACATTATATTTCAAGTTACTGTTACATTTTTTTTCAATTATGAATATTTGAACAGGCATATTTCAGGAAAGATATAAACAATGAGGAGTAATGCTGATTGCATGTGCATGCAAATGAGCCTCCATATACATGTTTGCCCGAGATAGTACTGATAGCTATCACTGCAGTCAGATCCTGCATGTATCTACACACTGTCACTGGCTTTTGATCAACACTGAGGAAAAGGAACAGACCAACTTTCTATTCTGATAACACAAGACTACTTACTTTTCATTCATCTGAAGATAAAGTGAGACATCAAAACACTGTAGATGATTACAAGTGAGCGCTCGACAAGGTATTGACATTCGCATTTTACCAAGAGGACATATCAACGAAACCCGTAAACTCGTTGTAGCAATTTCACTGTCAGGATCATGAGCTAATTTTTCTTTAACTACAAATAAAAGAGAAAAACAAGTTATGATATGATGATGATGTGCATCAAGAACCCATAATGTTCAACATATTTACAAAGTTTAACAAAGTCAGTCCCTGGAATGACAGAATTGCTTGATTTGGCAATCATAAATTGGGTTGCCAAAGATGGGTGACGTATTTGTGAAGTTTGAATGTGATCGTTACAGGCAAGTCCTTGTTTTAAGAGGATGTCTCACCGAGAACTAATAAAATTGATCAATACACACTAGAAATTAGGCATCTCAGCAGAACACACAGTAGAACAGAATTTTATTTGCCTTATTAGAAGCATATACACCTACATAAATGACTGTAAATGACGTCTAGAGTTTGCAATTGTATATACAATAAATGCAATAGATAAAATATAGTACTTGTATATACTGTATACGCATATATGTACGTACTGCTAACAAAGATGTGTACAGTGTTATTTCTGTATATAAATACTGATTGTGACCAGCAATGCAAACACACTAAACAGAGTGAGTAGACCATACATCCACATATGATGTAAACTAAGATCAAGTTACTTACTCATTGCTCTTGAATGGTCTGCATTCCTCACACCTTTTGAACTCTTTAAACGTTGTAATAAAATATCCGCATTCAGCTGTTTTACCAATCTTACTGCTATTGCATAACCCTAATATTAGCAGAAAGAGGACAGAGAAATCAACAAGTGGCACCAGTTTGCATGCACTAGTAAAAGACTAAATAACCCCCCATTCCTGCCCACTCAACAGGTCCCATGTCAGTTGTATTTAACAATTCCTGTGTGAAGACAATGACTTTAAAGGTTCTCAAAATGCAGTAAACACTACTGTCAAAATCAGTGCCAACAGACTGTATTTTAACATTGTAGTAATTCACTTCTGCCTTGTGTTAAAAAAATGTAATCGTCAATATTCCGAAATTCTCAGAGAATTGCGTTGGCACAATGCAGCATTCGATTGGTTAATGATATAATGACCTGCGAGGACAGAGGATGTTGTTACAGGTCACATCATGCAGAAAAACATAATGACGGGAATTATTTTGCATATGATCGAAGACATTCAGCAACGATCTTGAATGTTTTCCCCATAGACCCCCAAAATTCTTACACCATAAATTCAGATGGTATGTAAATAATATTGTAATAAAATGTGCATATTTTTTGTGAACATTTTTGTTTCTTCATTTCAAGTGTGAAAATCAATGACAGTGTAACTGAATTTGCAATTTTATTTTCCCCAAAGAGATAATCTGGAACATGGTGGATGAAAATTGTCATTTGGATAATTTTCGTTCAAGAGTGGTGCTTACCCAAGTCTATTTGCACAATATAACATCAATGACATGGTAAGATTGTTTAACAAAAAATGTTTTATTTTCCTCAATTTCACATGTTGAGGCCCCTGGGCTCATAACCAGTAAAGTATTATAATTTACAGCAATTGTCTCAGACTAGCATTTAGTAGATGCTTAAATGATTTCCATTCACAAAAGTACTATTTATTGTCTTACCCTTCCAAAATCTGCTGCCCATGATACATGTATCTGATTTGGCACTGTAGGTGAAAGTCTTGTTGATCCAGTCACATTGATGGGCCTGCTTGGTCTCTTTGGTTCTTGTCCTATTTTGGCCTGAGGAAGGAAGCTCTACAAGGCAAAAAAATAATAATTCACGTAATCATGTCAACTGTCAGAATTTTGAAGATTACTGCAAATGTTGTATGAGTTTTACGGAGCAGAAAATGTTACTTTTGTCCTAAAATTAGTATACATTAAAATTCACTGAAAATTTGAGGAGTCATGAAATGAACACATTTGACATATATCCACCCAAGGTACCTGCATGATAAAAATAGCTTTCTAGCTTAACTGTGGTTTAAAACAATTAAAATGCAGAAATATGGACAATTGACAACTCTCAGAAACATTAAAATACAACAATGTAAAATTCTATAAAAATCTTACTGGTAGTGGAGCCATTTTTCCATTCACTTTTATACAAAGATTTGGAGGATAATGATCATCCTGTTCACAGCTTGTTTCAGATAGACAAAGCCTAGAAATAAAAAAATACAGTATAATATTATTCACTGAAAATATGCCTTTCCATAAAATGCAGCATCAGCACTTATTTGAACAATCAAATGTTCTCTTATATCACAGTTACTAGAAGAACGGTTAGGAAACACTTAGTTCTTTTGTTAGGATGTTTGTTTTGTCTTGTTAAACATCTATGATCTAAAACAAAGGGAATTAGCATACTGCCGACGTTGGAGTTTTCTGTAATGTTTTTTCCTAACAAATTCCTCTGATTTATGCAGTATTGTAAGGATTTGGTATGAATATGAACACTGAAAAATATATTCAGATTAAAACTGCACTATCAAACCATACAACTTCCTGTGTCACTTACACCTTACGGCCAGGAAAAAACAAGATGGCAGACATTGTATTTGGGAGAAAATAGCTGCAAACTTTAAGAAAAAAAAACTAACATTGTTTAAACATAGTTCTTTCATAAAAGACTCCCAGATTCTAATTCAATGTACAAAATAAACTTTTAAAATGTTTTGAGATGCATTTTTGGGGTACAAATTTCATCACCATGTTGGACATCAGCAGACGCAAACTTATGATCGCCTTACTGAAACAATGAATTTTTCTCACAACATCTTAGTATTTAACAATATAACAAAAATAAACTATTAATACTAATTTAACAATGCATTGTATTAAAATATAATTCCTTCCATTTTTTAGCAATTTTCCCAAACTAATACGACAAACGCAGACAAAATGGGTTTTTGGGTTACAAAATGCCATGGTCAATTTTGATTCACAGAATCTGTCAACAAAAACTATCAGTATTTTCATTTTTTTCAAGAATGAAACCTTGAGTATCACACAAAATTCACACAGAAGTCGGTGATGCTTCTATGCCAATCTTACGGCTTAATGAGCTTGATTTCTTCAATTTAGTGGAAACACATGGGAAAACAAACTGAGATAGAAATATATGCGATGACGTCATAGTGGTTGGACATGCATCAAAGTGAAGTCAATGGATAATAAGAATATCTAACTATGAGTTTCCTAGCCGCTCTTCTAGTAGCCATGCTTATAGGGTAAACCAACATTGGATGCAGAAGTGCTATAGCAGGTGACAGGAATGGAATCCAGTCATTGATAGCAAACGTTTGCATAGCACATGCCATTTCAAGATATAGAATAATAAAATTCCACAAAGTATGCACTCAGGCATATGCTACACGTTGGTTGATAGAATTGTTGTACTGCCTTTGGGCATATTTTGCAGTATTCCTGTTCCAACCACATATTACAACCAAACTCGGCAGTATTTCAGTCATCCAAATATAAAATTCGACAATTTTAGCCTTTGCATTCGCATGTGCTGTTTAGGACTTTAGGCATCAGTCAAAGTTGTTAAAAGCCAACCAACAAATGAATATGAGTCAGTGTGAGAGATCGAAAGACCGTAACAAAGAACAGAACTACTGGTAATCAACATGTTGTTTGTTCATACCACACATGTCATTTTCTGATGGCATTTGGCATATTCCTTTTCAGCCAGCATTTTTCACATGATTTGTAACAGCAAAAACGCACAATAATCAAATAGTGATTAACCTTTTCACCACCAGACTTTCTCACCCACATTTTTCTACACTTTAAATTTTTCATATTCTTCAATATTCCTAGAAATAAACCCTAATTTTGGAGACAACCGACAAAATTTTAGTAAAGTTTTAGTTTTCACTCAAGAAATTTGCCTATTATTGTTCCAAACTTCAGACCAGTTCAGACTATAAACATGATTATTTTGTGAATTTGCGATGAAAAGAGAGAAAGGTTAAACCTTTCAATGTCACAATATTAGTGCAACATTTTATTAGTTAATTTTTAACAAAATTGATTAAAATTTAGAAATAAATATGTAGGTTTTTTTCCAACAATACAGTTACTGAGTACTTACCTCAATTGTACTTGAACTGGATATTCTACCCTTGCACCAGGTCTCATATCTCGTGCTGATGTGATCTGTGATATCTCGCGTGGACTGAGGTGATAAACATAGTAGGCCTCTTGGAATTTACTACTACTTCTAGGAACTGAAATGTGATAAGAATACCTAAACATTACAGCTCATCAATAACAAATGCTTGTACAATGAATGCAAGATGCTATCTAGTAGCACAGATGGTTACATAAATGAAACAAGTCTGTATTTCTATGACTCTACAATAAATACAGCTGTTGGCTTACACATGCTTCTATTGGTGATGTGCTACAAAAAAACGCAAATTCAGTATATAGGAAAACAGAAAATTGGGAAATTGTTTAATATACAGAAGTATTTGCTTAAACACATTGCCTGCTGAAAGCCTTCACAGCATGCAATCTGTTAATAAATGTCTTATATAAATGTCTGTGGTGGAGGATCTGGAAACCGATTTCCAGCTTACATAGCTGATACACCTGGCACTAGTTGATGCATATAAAATAGGAACATGCTATTAATAACCATGCCCATATTTAGCAATGCTTATATTTATTGGACAATTCAATGAATTATCCCACTCTTGGTCATGTGACCAATTGTTCTGGCCGTTGTTTCACTGGTATTTTAGTAAATTCATACATGTCAGAGTGTAATTTCTACAGTTGCATTCATATGTTAAATGTAATTGTACAGATGACTGTGACATGTTTTGTAAATCTGCTTTGTCTTAGCTATGTAAGTGTGTCAAATTTTGTAAACCGCTATTGTAAATCAGACCTTGCACCTTGGTTAGGAGTGGCACTGA